CCCAAACAAACAACCATTCATCTAATAAGGACTGACGCATTCAGGGTTCTTCAAACATAAAAGTTTTTTTTGAGGCGCCTCACTTTTTTTCTTTTCCCTCAATAATGTCACGACCCACTTTTTATGCAATCACATCATAACTCTGAATTAACCAGTAATGCCATTACGATAAGAGCGTTAATTGTGGACTTACCTAACCGGTGAAGTCAGTATATTGCTCCTACTCATGAATCAGTCTTCATGTTCGGTAACGATCGCCTCAATTACGCCTTCTTCTTACTGCTGTATTTATTCTTAACTTATATACAGCGAATGAGTCACGAATTCAAGTTTGAAGATCCCTGATATGATGACAAATGTGCAATTTTGGGTATCCTACTTTTTAGAAGTCACCACTTCTCTGTACATCCTTATGCCCTTCTTCACATCTACACAATCTTATCCTCAAATTTACTTCTATTGCACTTTAAGATAGCTCTTTTCTTTAACACTTCAAGCCAACTGGCCAGTGTGGTGTAGCGGTTAAGTACTTTGCTGTCACACACAGGAGACAGACTTGAGCTCAGTTCCTGTGTGGGGAGGATTTTTATTGAGTTTGTCTTTCTGTTGGGATTTTGCACCCCTCTCAGCATTTGTTGTCCCCGACTGGCACGGTTGAAACAGACCGCCTTCTTATTAATCAAAATAGTGTCAATGGAGGCGTAATATTTCTACAATTTTAATTACAATTAAGCCACCATAGTCAAAGGGATGCATCTTACTTCTGGGTTCTCGGACGATCGTGGCCACACGTCATGGTTGCCAGTTTCCACATCACTACCCCAGAATGACAAAGTTCTATCTGCTCAGTTCTTTGTGTTGAGAAATTTGACGTTAAAAATCAGATTCAAAACGTGTCAATTTTTTTCGAACGCAATACTTTGAATATCTTGGTAACGACTCCGAATAATCTTACGATTTTGATAGAGTCGATAGATCATTAATTACTTGTTTTTTGACCTCATGGTCTCAGTAACTCAAAACGTCCAAAAAATGTCAGAAAGAACTTTGTAATTCTAAGGTAGCGAGTATTTGTTCGTCATCCAAATCGTCGGCGAGCTGTTCAGCTGTTCTAAGCCCACAAAGCAAGTTATCTTTCAGGAGAGAAGACAAAAAGCCTGCTTAATTCTTTTAACAACTGTACCTACCTACACTGTGTACCTTTTCCTGCGTTTTTCAACATTGAGGATTTGAACTATTTCTCGAGCATTTCATGCAACCGATAAAACAGATTAAGAAACTGCAGTATAGGCCTTTGTAGAAATAAACTTTTTGGGCTTAATACATCGGAACAGTTGGCAAACGATACTATTATAGTCCTGAGACTTCCTCCCACCCTCCCTGCTCACGTAGCGATCGCACACACGAGACAAACACCCGTAGCGACACTCACCACGCCGTGTGATCGGTGGACTGGCACGTAGTCTGCTTCTGTTTCCTCTGTTTTACCGTTAATACTATGTCCTTTCCAAAAGTTTGTGCCATAGCCTGTCCTCTGTCGGTGTGCGGTCAGCGTGCATTCATGGAAACAAAGATTTAGCCATGCTAATGCTACCGTGTGAACAAAAGCGTTCGCTTTACGAATGCGCACCACAGACGGATCTCTTACATCTGTTAAAATCCGTTTTCTGCATAACTCAATTATTTGTTTTACAATAAAGGTCTACTTCAGTCCTCCATTCGGAATTTACTTGACAACCCCCCCCCCCCCCAAATTCCTGGGTTTTCACTCTATGTAAATCCAACATCCAGGTAGCCGTGACGTCATGCGCGAACGTCGATCTTAACTTATAATTATTATTCTATGAATGGGGAGCTGAGGTAGACGTTTACCCGTTTTGCTTGAGCTTTGAAGAGCGGTTTACTAAATGCTACTTTATGGACCCGTCGGTTTTCGTCCTGTAGTGTTTAGCATGGTCGTACCCCCAGGGTCAGAGTCATTCAGCAATGCTGAGATACATAAATATTGAAACATCTGAGCTCTCTCCCATCCGCCCCTTCCTTCCCAGAAACAAACAACCCCACTGGGCATTAGGGTCGGTCTGCTGTGATATTATCATGGAGACAAGAATCTAAAAGAAATACACTATTAGAAAAATTAGCTTCCGCTACAAAGTGTAGATCATTATATTTGATTTTTGTTGTTGTTCTATAGTTCGCTTGCAACAAGTACGATGAGTACATTTTTCCCAAGCTCAAAGCCGCGATTAATTAGGTTCTAAACATTTGGAAAGCGTTCTTCTATTTTGCGGTATTTTTTTTTCTTCGGAATATTGTGGAACGCCGTTGTTCTGACAGCAAGACGGACAGACGTCGAGGTAGATATTTTCAGTATTTTGAGTCATCTTTCGCTAACAAGTCTAAGAGTGACACACCTGCACAAATCGCACCTTCAGTATGATGCACAGTTGTTTTTACTGGTCTAAACAGGCTAAACTTCCCCAACACATAATTGGTTTCAGTTATACGAGTTGAAACACACCTTTTGGAACTTCTACACAATCAACACGTTTCGCAGATATAGAAAAGTTAAAAAAGTCGTTAACTCAGCTGGAAAGTCGTTTGACCAGTGCAGGCTACACAATTCAGAACACCAGCTGTGCCATTTTAGTGATTGCCACGAGAGAACTTCAATTCAAAACCTCATTTATTTTTCAGAGCTGAAATGTAAACACGGGATTATATCTCTGTAATAAACTGAATTATTGAATTCCTGAGCTTTAGAGGGATGAAAGCATAAAGTTAAATGTTAAGTTTTGGACTGATAAAGCCAGCACCTTCTATTGCCACTCTGCACTTTAGCACGACATTGCACTGCTCGTGCAGGCCTCGAACTCAAGGGAAATCATCTCTCAGTTATGCTTTCCAAATGGATATCATGTTATGATTTCTATTCGATAGTGGGCGGCGTGGAAATAAAGTGATTTCATGTTTCATTGACTTTCTTTGGCTTAGCAAGCTATTGTAAGCATCTGTTTCAGATATATCTATATTATAGCTTATTGGTTAACTTCATAGAACTGTTGAAAACACTGTAAAAATTCGTTGACAAACTTTTATTAACAGTGTTACTTTGTTGCGGGTACCGTTACCATTTCGAGGCCTGTTCGAATTTTTAATTTGAACATTATCAAAGGAGATAATCTAATCATCATATTTTAAGCATAATTTTTTTAAATAACAAAATTAAAAAAAAATATTAAAAAAATAAAAGAAATAAAATAAACGACTCCAACTATTTCCGTCATGAATCTATGTTCAGTCGACAGTGGCATATGCCTACTATCGTGGAGAAAGAGGGCAAGCCAAAACCTCTTACATTGGTTTAATGGAATTGTTTATGACCTTTATTATCTTCGTGATTAAACAATAATTTGAAATAAGGGTTTCTTCCGGGTATTTTGGAATCGTAAATATTTCTCATTATTCCAACAAAAGCCTCACTGAAGCAGAAAGGCATCTTCAATGAGCGTCAGCAAAGAAAAGGGCTAGTGCTCAACAAGAACAATAACAACAATAACAGAAAGCATCAGGAACAACAATGTTTTCTAACAAATCACATATTTTTTTCAATGTCCTTCACAACCATTGCAGCCGGTGGGAGCATATCACGTTGGGTCACACGTTTCCCAATCCTTTCAGTTATGGCGTCCGTTCGTCTTTCTCTTTCCCAGTACGAAACAATAATTAACATATCGATTTTATTCCATCTTTCTCAAACAATAAATGTAATACGCCGAAGTGACGCCCTCTTATCTAAACTCTCTTGAGTGTATCTAACATCTGTTTTTTATGATTGATACGTATTATCTCCACTATAAAACCAGGCCACATTCAGCCAATAACCTAACTCATTTGCTACTTGCTCAAAAGAGAATGAATGGACTATTATACCTTTTCGTGAACACCGAGCTAAAGAAAAATAAGCGCATAAGAGCCAGCAATGTATCATTGATCAAATGCATTGACAGTGACCAAAATTTGACCTTATCATCATCATCATCATCAAGTGCCAGATCTGCGGCAGACATTGACGATCATGGTTCTCCTTTCATTTCTTCGCTCGGATGATCTTAAAAAAGGCTAGCAGAGAAAATTACACAAACTAGCAATAGGCAACAGGAAACCACTGCTGTAATTTTCAAAGAAATAATCTCGGAAAACAAAACTCCTTTTGTATAAATTTGAATTTAAAACATGTCTGCCGGCGGGTAGATCGGTTCCTTAATGTCAATTTCATATAGCTCAATCAGGTTGATTTGTTGTACGGCAATGTATTGATTTTGATGGGTTAGTCTTACACACCAATGTAACCAAAGATCACGGATGTCGGTTGCCCTGCCTTGTTAGGATAGCTTCAATATGATATGAATCTCAGATCGTATGTGCAGCACAGTGGTGCTATTCTCTCGGTATATTAATGATTTACGCTAAAAGCAACATTTACTGCCTAAAGTAGTGCTTACCAACCCGGGGGGTATTCCCCCACTTGTGAGTTGGTAATTTTAACGGGCGGTGGGATCATCCCGGTAGTCACCATCATTACCTTTCTCCCCCTGGCCACAAACAAACACTTTCCACCTTTCTATATCCTGGACTAGTCTTTTGATGTTATTCCAACCCCGGTAGTCACATGTATTATTTAATGCCCCGCTTGGAAATACAAATAGGTGGACGGTACGAATATTTTAGCCCCAATACGACAAATTGGGCACTGGCTATAGAAGGTTAAAAAGCACTGGTCTAAAGCAAACCCATACAGAAGTTATTTATTGCCTTTCCGAGTCTTCGTGGAATCGATAAAAGTTCCCTGCACAGTGGATGAATGAACTTGTCTATTTTGTCGCAAGCTGTTATTTATACCTTCGACTTGTTAGACTCACTGCTTATTCACGGAGAACCAATACGTTCTGTTCTGATAAAGTAAATTCTGGGTTAACTAATTTGAATGTGACGATTTGACTGTCATTACATAAAACCCAGTTCTGAGCTTTCGAAACAAAGCAAAACTCACATGATGAGTGAAAAATAAAACCTCAACATCAAAAAGTTTTTATCTTATGTTTTCAAGTCCTAGAAGAGCAAGGCGACTGTACATGTTTAGGCATTGGACTATGCTGCAATCTGAACGCACGATTTTGTTTTGGAGTGTAGCACTGGTTGCAAAAACAAATAGTTAAATATGGCCTTGCTCATTGCACTTATTAAGAATGATGCCATCCTCTTGCTTTGTTCTCTATACCACCGCCTGTATCTTGTCCATCAGAGATCGATCCTGTTACGGGGAAGAAGAAGAAGAAGATGAAGGCAGGAATGAGGAGAGTCAGCGGAGATTATGAATATGTAAGTCAGAAGTTTGTCTCAAAGAACTTTGTTCTTTCCTAAGATTTCATAATGAATCAGGTTTTTTATATTGAATATAAACCCCTTTAGGATTAAAGTCATGCTATTGCTTTTAGTTGTGTATTGCTTATATTGTAAGTATTTGAAGGAGGTGATGATGTATTCCCTCAGCCGGGCTGGCCCTGATAGGCAGGATCGAAGTATTATGTATTTTTGTTGTTGTTTTGTTAACCCTTACTTTGCGAAAGTAGATTGCCCTTTAGCTTGGCAATGAAAAGCTGTCATTATAGTCAATTTATACGTGATAGTTTATGCTGAAGCTATTCATCTATCACATCTTTATTTGTTGATTTTGATTGATCTCACAAGATCCCAAACCTTCAAATTCAAGATTTTCCTTGTATTTTTCAGGAGTACGATGACAAAGGGCGAGTTATACGAAAAACGAGAATAGGAAAGGTGAGTTTCTGTTCTTCCTTGAGCTTGAATGAGTGTAAGTAGAAGCTTGGATGGTGATGAATATTAGTTGAAGCTATTACTCTCTGTTTACCTGGTGTGTTTTTTTTGTTTTGTTTTTAAAAACAATATATTGCTCTAAATTTGTTTTCCAGGAGGTATATCTGCTGTTTGTTCTTGGTGTTTACCACTTTGGACACGTGCGATGCCAGTCACAAAAATTTGCTAGCCTAACGTGAATTCACAGACGCAGACTCCAAATCGTTTGATTTTCCTGGGAATTAAAAGACACCATTAATACAATTACTGTCCATTTTAATTATTCCCTTTAAAATGTTTTACTTACTTTATTTTTATTCATCTTTGTTTCAATACACAAATTTATGTTTATGGTGTACAGTGCCACTTTCTTACGCTGCATTCTTTCCTTTAAGTGAGAGGGTGTAATAATCAAGTCTATGCCTAAAAAGATGTCACATTACGGTCATTGTCTAAAGAACCATTGTGAACGACGTCATGATAGCTATTTGTCTATTGTGTGTTTAGTTTAGGATTCTCACTTCTTTTATTGCGGATTTTTGTCTCCGTACGAAAGAGTAAATCACGCTGATGGGCGATTGACAGGTTTACGAGAATATCGATAATAATATAATCTAGGCACTTCTTGAGAACTAGTAATAACGACCCTTAACCGACAGCTAAAATTAACTAGGGTTGGAGTGCTCACACAACAGTCCTTTAAACTCAAACAAATAAACAAACAAACAAGCAAGTAAACAAGCAAGCAAGCAAACAAACAAAGCGTATCTCACGCCCAGATGACTAACGTAGCGTTATCCTTTGTGATGACCGCAGGGAGGTGATGACGACAGCGGATCGGAGGTGGAGTACGAATATGATGAACACGGGAACATCATCAAAGAAATCAGGAAATCCAAGGTTAGTGCCAGGTTTATGTCTAACAGCTTGGTTTTCGATAAGAAAATGTTAACTCTTTGATGACGCAAAAGATGCTGGGATGGAATCAGGCACTTGTCAATTCTTAGTCATATTATAGGGTGTTATTGATATCACCTTAAAGCTTGTTTATTTGTCTTCGTTTTGGTGAGAGAACATACTAATTTTTCTTGAAAAGATGTAGAGGTATTTGCAATGGAAGGAGGAAGTGGTTACTTGATGCCAGAGATAGAATTAGCGAGAACAATTTGGTGAATTCCAAAGCTTTAAAGTCCTTGGAAACGTTGGTCAACATTTTTCAGTAAAGTCCTCCCAGAAAAGTATTTTAAATAGACATTAAAGATGTTGCCCCCCCCCCCCAAAAAAAAGGGGAAAATCCAATAAAAATTGCCCAAAACAGGGGGAAAAATATACTGGTTTCTTCGATTTCGTTATTTTGACGATCGCCAAATTCACCACCTTGTTATACATATAATATTTCCTATCTGGAAGTAGATCTGCAGCGTAATGTTGTACAACGGTCGAATTTGTATATTTCATGGTATGCAGGTTGTTTTCTGCCTTTTTAAAGTTTCAGATAAAGCAAAGAAAACTGAATGATCCATATGAATAACGACACCATTCTTCGTTTCGAAAGTATCCCAAAACAGCTCGACCTCAAGTGCTGTCGAAAGATCAGAATAATTGTCCTCAATGAACTAAGCAAGAAGATGCCATTAAAAAAAACTGCCAAATGTTGTTATTAATATTAAGTTCTTGTTTGTTGGATAATCTGAAATGATGTTTTTCCTCTTCCTCTTTTTCTGAACTTCTCTTGCTCAGTGTTTCCTACGCAGTTTCTGCTTGTTGCTATTATCGTTTGGACGTCCCTCAAAGTATAGCTCTTTTTAGTCTTTTACCAAGAAAAATAGAAGAGTTGAGTTGAGTGGGGTGATTTTGCAAACGGACTCAATAATTTTCTTACGCTTATCCAAGGAAAGGATAACACCAGGTGGATCTTCCCGCTCTGTTTCTGTGAACATTAAGGAGCGCTTTTGGAGTTTCTTACTAAAGTGCAACTGTGGCATGAACATCTGATTCTTACTAGAGACCCCCCTCCCCAAAGAAAAAGGCCGCCCCCC